GGGGTCCGCAACCTCGGTCTCTGGGGCGTTCCGAGGGGTCCGCAACCTCGGTCTCTGGGGCGATCCGAGGGGCCCGCAACCTCGGTCTCTGCGGCGTTTGTTGGACGTTCTCTGTGAGAGAGCCCGACAATGCCCAGTGTGTTCCAGGACAGGTACGTGTTTGTGTGAACCTGTGGGCTTTGTGCACTTCTGGAGGCAATGACACACCGACCTGCGCCCTCAGGATGTGCGGGGTGAAGGGGACACCTAGCGCCGGGCCCTGCAGGTGTCCCAGCCTCCTCGCCCCGCTCGAGCCCAACAGTCAGGTGCGACCATCACGCGGCGCCCAGGGGCGGGCCCCAGCGCGAGGCGGAGTCTGCGCACGACTCGCGCTTGGCGGCCAGGCGCCGGGTAGAGCGTGAGGGACGTACCTCCGGCCAATGAGCGCAGAGACTGCGTGGAGGTGGGGCCAGGCTGTCGCGCGCAGGGACGCGGTTGGTCGGAGGGCTGCGGGGCGGGGCTAGGCGCAGGACTCCGCTGACTCCAGGCCGAGGCCGGGCTGGAGGGCGGTGTTCAGGTCCCGGCGTCTGGGCTGTGGCTCCTCCTCAGGTAAAGGGCAGGCAGGAGTGCCTTCGGCGACGCTGAGGAAGCGCCCCTTCGGGTGTCGGAGCTGGAGAGCCTGGAGGTTGTCCCTTCTGCTGGGCAGAGCGCCAAGTCGAGTTGGGGCGCCACCCCAAGGTCAGCGACGAGCGCCGGGAGGTCCTGTTCTTCTCGGGCCGGGACTCAGGTGCACCCTACGGCCCTGCGGGACGGGCTTGGCCGCGTCGCTACCGGAAGAGACCTGGGAGCTCGCGACTTAATTCCTCCTGGGTCTGCTTCTTGGAGGCGATCCGCGTCCATGTCCCTCCCGGAACTCGCCGGCCCCGGTGCCTGCCCTCCTGGGGAGCCTCTCTCACCGGCCCGGGTGCCTGCCCCTGCGGGGGAACTTAACTCGTTGGTCTCTGCCAGCCCTTGTGGGGAGCACGGTGGCCTTCGGCCCTTGTCCCTACTTTCTGGGGTGGTCCATGTTTCTGTGGCCTACTGAGGGGTCTTTCAGAGGAGGTGTCCTTTCCTTTTATGCCTCTGAAGCTAAGCCTAAACCCTAGTGTTCCCAGTGCATTGGGGCCATAGTCTTTTAGTGTTCGATGATTTAGAGGCCATCTAGAGCAGGGAAGTGATTTGTCCAGAGTCAGGAGTGTCTACTAGTCTTACAGTGTGGGTCACAAAGCTGAAAGGGCTGTGGGGAGTCCAGCAACGAGGCCAAGGCTAGAGCTAGGTGATGCTTAGCTAGAACTGGCCCATGGGATTTTGGGTTCCTATTTTCCTGCAGTGTCAGTACAGCCGCAGTGCAGGGCTCATTTCTGCACATCTTACAGAGGTCCCCATTGCCAGCTCCGGCTAGAGATTGGACAGAGCCATAAACGCTAGTGCCATGAGGTCAGC